AAAGTTGCTCAGACTTTTGTTTTCATAGAAATGTTCCGCAAAGTATTGTTTGCAGTTTGTTCTATTTGGAACGTTCCACCGGGTTTTGTTCTTATACTACAATTCCCATTAAGAACGTTCTTGGCAGTTTTGTTCGCATTTCAGTTTTGGCTTTGAAGCGTTCTTGGAAATAAAAAAAAGAACGTCATTACTGCATTAGGGGAAGTGAATGTTTCATTAGAATTGAATATATTACATTATTAGGTGCGTTGAGGGAATAGAGATCTTCACGTCGCAGTTTTGTATGAAGATATCAATTACTACGTTTATACGCATGCATCAGTCGCTTTAATTCATTTCGCCGCGATTCAAAACATATGTATAAACTAAATTTCAATTCGCTTTGAAAGAGCGAAGTGTTTTGGCTCACACTCCATTTCAAATCGGTAGTTTATTTCTCCAGACAGTTAGAAAGAGTGTATAAACACCGCTCTCAGTCAAAGCGAATTGGAGATCAGCTNTTTTGTTTGCTTTTGAAGACGGTTACTTTGATGCCGATATAAAGCCGTAAGTATAAACACTAGAGCGAAATGTGTACGGTGTCAATGCGCTTTCAATTAAGTCGATTAGTCTGTGCGTATAAACGTAGTAAATGAATTTGATCCGAGAAATCCTCTTTAAGTGTCTAAATTCCTCTATTAATGTAAACTCACACATATTTTCAAATTCAAACATTCATTCGGCTTAATAGAATCGTCAATCAGACTTGCGAGTTCACCCTGTATATGTACATTATAGAATCAAATAATGTTTAAGCAGCAATTAACATTAGAGAACAACTCTACTCGCGCCAAAGAGAACAAGCTTGGCAAAACAATAAAATTGTTTAACAACAACAAAAAAATACAAACATAAGATATAAATCTCAAAGTGTGACCACAATTGTACCAGTGAATTTATTTTCATTTCATAACACTTTTAAGACACAAGCCAAAGTCAAGTAAGAACCCCAGTTTTATATTAAAAACTTGCTTGTGGACAGACTGGCAAACCATATAGAAGTTGCAAAAAAAAAAAAACAATAACAATTAAAGCCAACAAGTATTATTAAAGCGTCCTAAACTACACCCGACAGTCACGTAATTTTTTATATAACTTTTTATGTACTCATCTTTTCTTGCCAAAAAAAAAGTTATCACAAAAACATTACGTATTAAAATCGTATACGAAAAGCCACAAAAAAACCTGACTAAACAGTACTTAGTTAATGATATGTGTAAACGATGTGCTTCATCTGCGCATGCATATGCGCAATTTTTTTATATGACTCAAGCATACAACTTCTACAAATAAAATTTAAGTCATTAAGAATTCAAAATAAAATGTTTTCCAGCAAAAATTTTATATAAAAACCAACAGCGGTAACATGTAAAGGGCGCTGGGTCAGTTGCTTACTACGGCCACGCGGCTTTTGCGCATGCGCAACGCACAATGCACAACTACGCGCCTTCCGCAAAATTTCGGCATTTTCTTTGTCATTTGTGTACAAAAATTAGCAGTGTAAATGGAAATACATATAAAATAAGTTTATTTTTGCATTTTACATGCACCCAACGTACGTAATTTGCAAAGGTTGCACAGTCGGCGACTGCCAAAGAGACATCAAACAAGCGGTAGCGCCAACCAGGCTGAGACATACCTACGCATGAACATACGGCGATTTGGTTTGATTGTAAGTATGTACATACCATACGTAGGTTCTTTGGGTGTTCATACCACAGTTGGATGTCAGCCAAATTTCTTGCTAACAACGCATTAAATGTGCTTGAATAATAATAAGAAGTCTGCCATGCAGCACAGCTGTGTCTTATTTTATTTTTATTGCTACTTTTTTCACTATGCATGCGCCTTTTTGTACATTTGTACATACATATTAGCTACTTTTTACGTAAAATTAGCATATCAAAAGCACAACAAACAAAGTTACAACTTAGCCACTAAGATATTGAAGAAAAAAATTTAAATACTACTTTTTGGTCATCACCAATGCAATATTTGGTAATGATATTTGGTACCACATATTTTGGTAATACAATAACACGAATGCCTAACAAATATTTGGTTTGGGTCAAAAGGCGTTAATTTTTGGTATCAAATAGTCTTCAAAAATTATTTTTTCTTTTTTTTTGCAAGCACGTCCTTACAAACTTGTGGCTTTGCTGATTTGGGCACCGATTATATGTAATTGGTTGTGGTTAGTTAGCTGTTGATACAAGCATAATTTTTAAAGCAGCGAGATGCATTTTTTTAAGTACAACGAACTTGTTTCCTCGAGTTGTACATGGATGATTTTTTTTTTTTATTAAATTGTATGAAAAAAAATATTAGGAAGTAAATTACACAAATTAAAGTTTACGTTTAAAAATATTATTTATAACACTTATTGACTCTCAATGTGTACACAAAATTTTCTAGTAAGAGGTACATAAGTCAAAACCTTGCGTTTTTTCGTTTTAGTCGAAACGAATATCAGATACATGTAATGCTAATTCTAAGCCAGAGGCATGAATGTGCAAATTTACCAATTTTTTGTTATTGGATTGACTTCATTAACCTTTGAATGTTCTATGTTATACCAAAACGCGGAATACCATATTTTACAATGTCAATTATATGAATTGTCTGGTAAAAGAAAAAAAAATATCCAACTTAATTTCCCAAAATTTTAACTTTTTTACTTTCATTTACTAGCATACGGGGGACGATATTTTAAATTTAATATGCTATAAAACTGCATACACAAAATTCTTATAGAAATTGAATTAAAACTCAACTTTTATAAAAAAAAATAATAAATATTAGAAAGACAAAAGAGTACTCAAAACTGGTAAAAATGTTATGGTGCTATTAGTTTCACCAGTAATTTATTCGTCTTCTTATAATACGGTAAAATGATAATAATTTATCCTGTCCGGATTTTAATAGCCGCCTCCGTACCGCGGCTGTCAACCGTCCCGTTTTCGACGGGACAGTCCCGTATTTATGAGCTATGTCCCGGTCCGGGTGTAACACATGCCGGGACGCAAAATGTCCCGGTTTTGGCAAGAAAAGAACTTAGACATATCCTTAGAAAAAAAATTAGATAGGTATACTTTACAAATTCCATTTACTAAACGACACTATATGCCATATTTTGTTTTGCTGCCGCGATTTTCTGCAGACTGTTTCATTTATAACTAAATGCAACAAACAAACTGCGCAATGCGGTAGCGCCGTGCATACAGCTGTTTGCTAACAGTTTGCGGCAACCCCGTTGAATCAGCTCAAGGCGAATCAGCTGATAGTCGTAAAGAGTAAATTGTTTCCTTTGAATGTATAAATTTTTGAGTGCAGCTGTAAACAAAATTTGTAATTGTGTACCGGTTAAAATTAAACAAAACAAAATCAAAAAAAAAAATCCTTATTTAATAAACAAAGAATTAAAGCCGTGGCTGCTTAAATTAGACGCGATTTTTTACCAGCTTCAAACTGGCACTTAGTTATACAACAATGCCAAATTGTATGCAAATTTATTGAATTTTCCTGAGTTTTGCACAAAGTCTAGATATTTTTCTTATGTTTTTTTGTTGTAGTATGCTTTTAGTAGTATATTTTTATAAAAAATAAATCCAATTGTGCAATTCTTCCACAATGGTCAAATTATCGTCTGTTTTGATTTGTTTACATAACCGCGTATACATACACATATACGTAAATATATACCCTACAAACAAATGCTCCCGAAATCTTTAAGAGTATCGATTAATTTAGGAATCTTTAAAGAAAAACATACCAAGCGGTTGACAAGAACTAGTAAAGAAATTTCTGTACGATTTCTTAAAGAAAATTCTTGAAAAAAATTGTGAAACCTTTCAGAATTCTATAAAATCCTGGTATGCAGGGTATACATATACATATATATATGAATAGATAAAAAAGATGTTGATGACACAAAAAGTTCATACCAACGGTAAATTTTGTTTCTGTACTATTGCTACAACCTGTAGTTATTGAATCATGCGATTATTCTTGAAACCTTGCGGGATTTCCCAAATATCTTTAGGCTCGTATCGCTGGATTGTTAAATAAATGCTCACGATGACCAAATTGTAGTACAATTAACTTTATTGTACAACAAACAATTTACAATACTCGCTAATACAGCAAAAACACTTTACAATACTCGTTAAAGCAATTACAACGCTTTACAAAATTTGTTAACACAATTAAACTTGCTTCTTCGCAACTCACTTTACTTGTAGCTAGCTGATTTGTAACTAACTCACTCCGCTGTGTCGTGGCTCTTATATACCTGCGCTCGCACTCATGGCAACTCTAGAATGTTCTGAAATTCATCGCTCATCATGATGCAATAATACTAGGTGGTATCAGTTGTGTGTGTGATTTGACACTGCCTTAGCGCAGTTGAATAAGAAGAAAAACGGGAAGAAATTAATCCCCATTTGGGGGAAAAATATGAGATTTCATATTCTCTTCTAAACAGAATTAGTTTTTTATGGTATATTTGCAATGAAATAAAACAACATATAATACCTTTTTGAGAAAACAAAAAATGTATACAGAGAAAAAATATAAAAAATTCAACTATATTATTAGACAAAGAATTGTTAAAGAAGTAACACTGTTTCAGCTAAGGCAGTCAATATGGCGGAATTAGAGCGAGAAGTTGCCAACCGATAACACCTTTTATTATTGCATCATGATCGCTCATTCTCTTTCTCTCGCTGTTCGCAGTGTTCATCCAATTTGACGTTTCTCTTTGTGGAACATTCTACGTCATTCCTCGAACATTCTGCCTATTTCTCGTTGTTAGCTTCGCGTTGCCGCAGTATTCCCCACATTATTTTATCATACATTTTAGTAAGCTCGTAAATATAACTCCATAAAAATTTTGACTGTTCTTTTACTAGACTCGTAAATTTATGATGTATACCGTAATAAACTAAATCACTGTTATACAAAACCACAAGAATTAAAATAAAGATCTGGTATCTCTATTTCAACATCTGTTCGACTAGTCAACCACAGCCAACCTCGCCTTAAAACAACCGCCATTGCAATTTGAATAAGAAAAATTGCGCTAGAAAAATCAATTTGTATCGTATTCAATAAAATAATTAATTGTATTCGCAGTATATTACAAATATTATTTTCTTATTATAATGGGTGCTAGGCAAACTAAAATTGAGGGGACCTACTTGCCAGAAACGCCCACAGTTATGGCTGGTAAAGTGTGTATGCCTGTTGACATGGATGAGGCAAATGACTGCGAGAAAAACGTAGATGTGCAGGACCCGCGTTCGCCAAATATCTGCAGAACACCAATCAGTGTACGTAGAAACCTGCTTGATTTTTCATAGAGTTCTTCAAGTAACATCTTTACAGATTTTTTCAGCCACATATCAATGCTCAGAAAGTGAACAGATTGCCAAAGTGAACCAAACTGAAAGCGCAGTTGGACAGCTACGTAAACGTTTTTTCAAAGGATTTTCTTATAATTTGAACGATCCCCGTTCACCCGGCTATCAATTCAATCGTACACCTATTTCTTTTGATGATTCACAAGACAAAATCCTAAACTTGGATGATACTTTTGCTGATTTATTTGCGGAAACACAAGTTCATACGTTTGTACATACTGATACAAAAATTGATCAAGATTCAAAACTTAGTGCGCCTGAGTCGGGGGAAAATACTGAATCTGATGCGGCTTATGAAGAACTGAATGCCGTGATTAAGGATGTAAACGAAAGTCTAGATTGCCTAAAAGAAAATTCTAACTCCGAGGTAGTGGCTTCGTCCCTTCCATCAGAATTGACACTTTCGCCAAAGATTTTACAAGACGAAATTGATCCACGCTCTCCTACAATAGGAGTCGATCGCACACCAATAATATTTAACGATGATGAGGATGAAACTCATGAAAGCATCTTGTTGGAAAGCATTTTAGCCACTCTTTCGCTGGATATGAGTAATAGCAGCTTTTGCTCACTAGGCACGCCTAATCGGGAGGCAACTTCACCCCACCAAAAAATCGATTCAAGTAAAACTGATCGCCAAGGTCAGCTTTTTAGGAAAATTACACATAAACGTATGCGCCGAACACACGTCAATGAGAAAATCTCGCTAACACGTCGCACACCAATAGATGAAGAAATGTCTCCGCAGCGTGTGTTTGAAGATTGTGAAAATGTTGTAGCGAACTCGAACGTAGAAAGAAAGTTGAAAATGCAACAAAAAGATTCGCACGGCAATACGAATAAAAGAACACCACTCAGTTGTATTAAAAACAAAAGAAATTTACACACAAAATCAGAAGAGTATTCAATGAAATCCCACAGAGCACGATTGGAAAATGCTAACGATGACAATTTTACCATTGGATAGAAAAAGCAAAGCGACATGTAGAAAGGTAGCAGTTAATTATGTCTTGAAATATTTTAGCTAATTACTTCTATAAAGTAAGCTATAGCTATAATTTTTTTACATATTTACGTATAAAAAATTTATTTGTTTGTTCATACCTGTTTCTCAGTACTGAAAAGTCTGAATATTTGCTTGATATTGCATATTTTTAAATTTTTCTTCATATTTAATAAACAAAAGCCAATGGGTTGCCGTAAATGCAGTATTTTCGTGTTTTGAGCTGTAATTGATTATATATGATGAATATTTTCTATTACGTTTATGTACAAACATGTGTACATTACGCTGCCGACAATAGTTCCATGCTGTCATTTTACTGTTAGAATTCAACCACTTTCACCTACATCAATATAATGCACACCTTTGTATACATAAGTACCGCAAAAGAAGCACTTTGGTACTACGACACGTTAATATACGCTAGTATGCTTATTTAACAACTCAAAAACTGAACGGAAATTGCAAAAGCATGCCCCGCAGAGGAACTGTGACTGATTGTTTTTGTATCCTTATATTTCCTGGAATCATAAAATATAAAATTGCCACTTGAAAACTAATTAGCTTCATATCGTCGTGTTCTACCGCGAGAGCACATCTAAAAAGTGTAAATAATGCCAAATTAAAATTGTATAGTTGCAGCTAATACTTTGTTGGTGGTATTAAAATGATTTGCACGCATTCATCCT